TGGGGCCACCTGCGGATGCCGGCCACGCAGCAGCAGCTGTGGAATGCGTGTCCTGATCTTGCGGCTGCACACCTGCACCTTTTCGGCTATTATTTCTTCACATATTTTTTCTGTTCCCTCTTGTCCCTCCCCTTCTGGTGACCTTGGGTGCCCTGTATTGGCGTCTGCACCAGGCCCTGCAGTGTCGACATCTGCCAGCATTGGAATGCTCCCACATTCTGAAGGTGGAAACATGCCCTTGCTGAGCACAGTCTCAGACTAAAACGCCCTGTGCAAGCTCGGCTGAGCACAGCTGCTGGCCACAGGAAGGGCCAAGCTGTTGCCTCACGCTCGCCACCTCTTCTCCACCCCCAATTTCCCTGCATTTGTCTTTATTTTAGGTTTCTGTTGCCTTGCCTTTAAACTCATTGATATTTTCTCTGCGGTGCCAGATCTGTTAATACAGTCGTGTTTGTTTTTTCAGTGTGTTTGTGTTCCTTCATATGCTGGCGTGGTACCATGATGGCACTCTTGGCATCATGCTGGGTGTGTCCAGGTCTTCAGCTGGGTGCAGGCCGTGCTCCTCTGTTAGCCCCCACATAGTTAGTGTCTTTGGTGGTTTGGAGACGTCTCGATGTTCTTTGTACTTGTCATTTGTTAGATACATCTGCTGTGATTGGTTTCTCCACCCTCACTGGCCTCTTTTTTTTGGGGGGGGGGGGGTTGTTTTTAGTTCTGTTCTTTGATAAGCAGAAATTCTTAATTTTTATGATTTGAGTTTATCAGTTTTTCTTTTGATCAGTGCTTTTTGTGTCCTGCCAAAAAGTCACTCCTAGCCCTGAGGGGTCACAGAAACACTCTGTTATCTTCTCTTTTTTTTGGTGGTGGTGAGGGCTACCAGGTATTGAACTCAGGAGCACTCGACCACCGAGCCACATCCCCAGTCCTATTTTTTTTTTTTTAAGTTTTTTAGTTGTTGAGGGACCTTTATTTTATCTGGTTATTTATTTGTGATGCTAGGAATTGACCCCAGTGCCTCACACTTATGAGGCAAGTGCTCTATGCTGAGCTCAACTCCAGCCCCCAGCACTATTTTGTATTTTATTTAGAGACAGGTTCTTACTCAGTTGCTTAGTGCCTCGCCATTGCTGAGGCTGGCTTTGAACTCACGGTCCTCCTGTGACTTCTGAAACATTCTGTTATCTTCTTAGAGCTTTATGGTGTGTGTGTGTGTGTGTGTGTGTATGTGTATATGGAAATCCTATGTGATACTTACAGCTAGTTTAGTTTTGCTAGTTTTTGAATGTTTTTCCCCCCCAGGGCTTAGGACCAAACTCAGGGTCTGGTGTGTGTTAGGCAAGTGCTCTGCCACTGAGCTAAATCCTCAACGCCACTAGTTTTTGAATTTTTATAAATTCTAGCATGTAATGTTTGGGTCTGTGCCTGTATATCCAGTGTCTTGATAATGAGATTCACCTATGGTGATATCTGCATTGTATCTATTATGGTTTCAATGTGAGGTGTCCCCCAAAAGGTCACATGTGAGACGATGAAAGAGGGTTCAGAGGGGAAATGATTAGGTTGTGAGTGCCTTAACGCAGTCAGTGTATTAGTTAGTTACCTGATGGGATTGAGTGGTAATGGAGGGAGGTGGGCCTTGGGGGTGTGGCTTTGGGGTGTATATTTTGTATATGGCTAGTGGAACCTTTCCCTCTCTGCTTTCTGATCTTCATGGGAGCTGCTTCCTCGGCCACTCTCTTCCACCATGATGTCCTGCCTTGCCTTGAGCCTCGAAGAATGGAATCTGTTGTCTATGGACCGAGACCTCTGAAACCATGGGCCCCCAAATACACTTTTCCTCCTCTACACTTGTTCTGGTTGAATCCTTTTGTCACAATGGCAGAAAGGCTAAAATACTTCCTGTTGAGCCCTTTCCTGCGGGTCCCACCATGTTGAGCAGTTTCCAGGCAGTCCTGCGCATGGTGCACCGCAGTGTCCTTGTCTGAGGGCTTGTCTGTGGGCATTCTCACACAGTCCTCCTGGTCTCTGTGTGTGCATGTCTGTGGGGTTTAATTAGCCCTGAGGGGCTGTCACCATTTGTCTCTGTTGTTTGCACATGTGGCCCTGAAGTAGTAGTGGCATGGGAGTGTATCAGTGGCTCTGCATTGTCTGCGATTGGTGTGGACGATCTTTTTTCCTCCCCTATTTTTACACTTTTGTTGGATGTGGGACTGACTTCTCTGGTAAATTCTTGCCAGGCTTAGCTTTGAGATTACACTTGCCTCATCAGTGAGATAGGTGGGACTCTGCTCTCTGCAGGGAGACTTTCAGGTGCAGAGATCTATTCTCCCAATGAGCATCTCTTGGACTGTGTCCTTGTAGTGGGCTCCGAGGTCCTGTGTGGTGTGCACAGTCCCTTTCGGCAGTGTCCAGGCCCTTTCTGTGGGTCCTACCAGTGGTTCAGATATTTGAGGATCACACCTTCAGGTTTGGAATGGGTGCTCCCCTGACCTTCCCAGGAGGCTCACTTTGAAGCAGGATTCTTATGTGTCCGACCCAGGCTCTGCTGTGAGCAGTGAGGCTGTTCCCAGGCAGTCGATCACCTCGTGGGCAGGTGAGCCCAGCATGCAGATGCTCTCCAGTGACGTGGAGGCTGCCCCTGGCATTGTGTAGGCACTGGTTCCTTAGAGGTGTGGGGTGTGGAGGTGGTCATGGACATGGGGTTAAGAGTAGCTGTGCCCTCTGCTGGGCTTGGTGTGGCCCCAGAGGAACCAGATAAAGAGGAGAGGCCGGTGTGGTGGGCACTGACGCCCAGTGTGCTGGGGTCACCCATGGGAAGTCGCTCTTGAGTGTGGCAAAGTCAGGAGAGGCCGAGTGGCTGCAGGACACTGGACAACTGTGGGAGTGGAGAGGCGCCAGGGCTGGTCATGATGTGGCGGGAATGGAGTGTGGTTTTTGCCTTGCCGTGCGTTCATTGAGGCAGAGAACGCTGGAGGGGCCCCCGTGTTGGAGGGAATCTTGTCACACTCCCTGTTCCCCAAAGGCTCCTTTGTTTATGGGGGAGGTAAAAGGTTGAACTAAGGGTACCGTGACCTAACCAGTGGATCGGTTCATAATTGGAATGCATCACTGGGTGGCAGCTGTAGGCACATTGTCGGGTGTGACTGAGGGAGCTGGTCCCGGGCTCTGCCTGCTCTCTCTGCTTCCTGGTGCCGTGAGATATGAGCAGCTTTTCTCTGCGGTGTCTCTCTGCCGTGATGCTCTCTGCCTCACCTCAGGCCCAGAGCAGTGGAGACATCCAGCCGTGGACCGGACGTCTGTGAGCAGAATAAGCTTTTCTTCCTCTGGGTTGTTCACCGTCAGGCAGAACCGACTAACACAGTCTGCTGAACTGCCAGTGTTGCCCACCCATGCCGTCAGCCCCTGCACTTTGGTTCCTCTGGGGGTCTTTTAAGCCTCCATGACCACATCAAATTGTCCACCCCAACAAGTCCCCTGGCTTGGGCAGGAAGATGGAGTTCATTTAGCCATTCTGAGTTTGAAGTGCCCAGGTGACACTTCTCACAGAGAGGCCGACCTGAAGATCACTGGAGGGGAGGGGGTTTCCTGGTGGAGGGGTGCTGTGCAGGCAGACAGACTGCGGGGGAGCGGCGTTGATCCCTGTTGAGGGGCGGCCACAGCATCTCTCTTCCCTGGGGCTGTTGCTGCTGAAGCAGGGGGCAGAGCTGCAGTGTTAAGACAGAAGTCTTTGATGGCTCTGACAGACATTGTCCAGTACCTTTTAAGAAGAAAGCAAACTCACGTACTCTGTCATCGACTATGTGGGTACATTTGTTTTCCACGCCCTCTGTGACTTTGAGAATCAGTCATATCTTGTAACTCAGTGACCATAAGCGACCTTTGATGTTGGCGTCTTGCATTGGTTCACCATGTCCTGTACCTTTTCTCTTCTGTGGTGTCGCTCTTCTCTTCCTGCAGATGGCTAGCTTGGCACTGTCCAGCAAGGCGAGTGCCCTTCCCTGATGGCTGTCTTTCAGTGAGATATGATTCCCATGATGTGATCCACTGCTTTTTTTTTTTTTTTTTCTTTTTTGGTTCTAGGGACTGAACCCAGGGCCTTGTGCATGTGAGTGCAAGCACTCTAGCAGCTGAGCTATGTCCCCAGTCCCTAATCTACTGTTTTAAAGCACATGCTTCAGAGTCTTTTAGCACAGGCCCAGAGGTGCACCCCTTCTCCTCTGTTAAGCTCTGGACATTTTTATCATCGTGTGCTTGTTGACAGTTGTACCTGCCCACGCCGCCCCAGGCGGCTCTCTGTGGATCTGGCCTCCTGATAGGTTATGTAAATGGTATTCTGTGACATGTAGCCCTTGTTGCAGCACCTGTTAATGCTTTCCTTCCTGGGTGAGTGCAGTCAGCTCTCCACACCCATAGAGTCTACTGAGTACAGACTGAAGGAACTTTGGGGAAAGTCGGTATCTGGTCTGAATGCAGACAGACCTCTTGCTCTTACCATTATTCCCTAAAGGGTAGGCTGTAGCCACTGTTTATGCAGTTTCCTTGTTAGGTGTCACAGGTCACCTAACATGACTGAAAGTCTCCTGGAGGATGTGTGCAGTTCACATGCAAGTCCTACGCTTTTTTTTTAATTTATATTTTTCTTTAGATGTAGATGGACACAATGACTTTATTTTATTTATTGATTGTTATGTGGTGCTGAGGATCAAACCCAGGGCCCCACATGTGCTAGGTGAGCACTCTACTGCCGAGCCCCAGCCCCAGCCCTCGCCCTCCTACGCCCTCTTGTAGGAAGGACTGCAGTGTCCATGAGAAGCCCCAGGCTCCTGGTTTGCTGGTCTGGGGCATCTGTGTGAGTCTGGTTGGGCCTTTTCCACCTTCCAGGTGTCTGGAACATCCTTGGCACTGCTTTCGTGAGGCACTAGTGTATTTTATTTTATTATTTCTTAGTGGCTGCTGGTTCTGTGAATTTTCTGGCCATGGTCTTTGCTTTCTTTCCCTAGGAAGAAGAACAAGATTGTGAACTGGCAAGCAGATCCGAGGATGAGGCTGCCCAGCAGCAGCAGCCTCAGGTGACCTGCACGGCCTAGCCAGGGCTCTCGGCCATCACACACTGGGCATATGCTCAGCCATCCACACAAGGGCACTTGGGGTCTCGAGCTGGGAGGGGACTGCAGGTGGGGGAGACTCATCCCAGAGTGCATGGGCAGATGCCACAGCTTGCTGTGTTTCCGTGTTTTCTGTGGGGGGGCAGTTCCTTGGGGCAGGTGGAAGGGCAGCTAGGGGCCTGGGGAGGGCAGTCTGGCCTGTGCCAGGTCATATATGCGGTGCCCTGACTGCTTCTGCTGTGAATCGCTCTTACTTGTGAGGGAAGCCATGGGAGTGGCTGCTGGTGGGAGGCACACTGTGGGGACAGCTGCAGCCACAAGCGTGGAGAGCAGGTGGTTGTCCTCCTTGTACTGCATGCTCCGTTTCCCTCGTCCTGGGTCCATCACGTGTTTCTTGGTGTCACCTTGCTGCCTGGTTCCAAGCCTAGACTCATGGGATGTGCCTCTGTCCCCAGACGGCACCCAGCCTGGAGCTGGAGGCGCTGCGCCTGAGCCTCAGCAACATGCACACGGTGCAGCTGGAGCTAACGCAGGCCAACCTGCAGAAGGAGAAGGAGTCCGCACTGGCTGAGCTGCGGGAGATGCTCAACGGGCGGCGTGCGCAGGAGCTGGCCCTGCTGCAGAGCAGGCTGCAGTGCGAGCTGGAGCTGGTCCGGGAGCAGCATGCGCGAGAGAAGGAGGCGATGGCACTCCGCTGTGGGCAGGAGACAGGTACGGCATGCTGGCATGGGCAAGAGGGGGTTCTGCACGTGGGGCCAAGCCAGTACGCCTCCCGGCTGCTCTGGACTGCATGGTGTCCTCGTTAAGAAACGGCCTGCTTATTTTCTGGGTCACTTCCCCTGTCCAGAGTGCACGCTCCTGTCCCCATTCCCGGAAAGGCAGGGCCCCGGAGTGCGCACCCCCGACCCCCAAGCCTGGCTCCTGACAGTTCCCACTGCTGTGGGCTGAGCGGCGCCTGGGTCAGCACGTCTCTTCACCTGGCCTTGGCAGCCCTGGTTCTGCTGCTCTCTCCCTCAGGGCAGTCTCCAGGGGATGAGTGTTAATTTCGATGGTGGGATCTGCTGCCTACAGGCTCTGTCAGCCCCACCCAGACGCCCCTGGTCTCAGACCCTGTCGTCCTATGCTGAGCTGACCATGATTCTCCTGGTTGGCGGTGCCACCCACTGGCTAACCTGGTACTTCTTACATTTGCTGATTCTTGGTCAGATTGAGCTCTTTTTTTGGCCTAATAAATGCTTTCATGTTGTATTTTGGATGATTTTTATGGAACTTTTTTTAAGAGGACCCTGCTTTCATGCATCTTTTTTTTTTTAACTTCATTTTTTTTAAACTTTAGAAAAATTTTGTTGTTGATAGACCTTTATTTTATTCATTTGTTTATATGTGGTGCTGAAAATAGAACCCAGTGCCTCACACATGCTAGGCAAGCACTGTGCCACCGAGCCGCAACACCAGCCCCCTTAACTTTTTTTTTTTGTTTTAATTATCTTCATTTTTATTTATTTATTCATTTTTATGTGGTGCTGGGGATCGAACCCAGGGCCTCACGTGCAAGGCAAGCGCTCTACCACTGAGCTACAGCCCCACCCCCCCCCCCCTTCACTTCTTTTAAAAATAGCTTTTTAGTTGTAGATGGACACAATATCTTTATTTATTTGTTTTTATGCGGTGCTGAGGATTGAACCCAGGGCCTCACATGTGCGAGGCAGGCGCTCTACCACTGAGCTACAGCCCCAGCCCCCATGCACATCTTTTTTAAAGAGCTTTTTTGAGACGTAATTGACACAGTGCACAATCCACTCGCTGGTGGCTTGGGGTGCATTTGCCAAGCTGTGCAGATGTTCCCACAGCTGCGGTTCACGTGTTCTCACTCCAGAAGGGAGCCGCAGGCCAGTGCTTGCGCTCCTGCTTGCCTGCTTGCCTTCCACTGGTGCAGGAACAGCATGTTCAGCTGTGGCTGTGTGGAGAGCCCCTGCCCCAGCCTGCCTCTCCCCCACTCTGAGGGGCAAGTTTTCTTAAGCTCTTGTGATGCTCTTTTGTTTCTTCATGTACTTTCAAGAAGACAAAGGTATATTTAAAATTTTCTCCTTATTTATTTATTTTGGTACCAGGGATTGAACTCAGGGGCACTCAACCACTGAGTCACATCCCAGCCCTATTCTGTATTTTATTTAGAGACAGGGTCTCGCTGAGTTGCTTAGCACCTTGCCATTGCTGAGGCTGGCTTTGAACTCGCGATCTCCTGCCTCAGACTCCCATATTTTTCTCCCTTTTTTGGGAAACATAGCTTGTCTCTCAACCCTCTCTGGGCTGCTCTCTTTTCACCATTCCGGTCTGTATGGGCCCTGTCTATTCTCTGTCCAGGCCTGGGTTTCGGTGGCCCTCCTGGACACAGGGTGTTGTGAGTGTCCACTGCGTGGCCCATGGTGCTGGAGCCTTGTCTCCTGGGTGATGGATCTGGAGGTGAGACTCAGGGGTCTGAATGGCTTGTTGTCTGTCTCACAGCGGAGCTGAAAGAGAAGCTGCGGTCAGAAATGGAGAAAAGTGTGCAGATGGTTGAGGTGGGTGAGACTGCACAGCATGGGTCTGTGACCCTTGATGCTGAGGGACCCAGGGGAACTGGGCAGAGCGAGTAGTTGCCCTGTGTGAGGACAGCTGTGCTGTCGAGGGATGTGTGCTGTTTCACACTGATGTCTGTGGTGCAAAGGTGCTTGTCACCCCTCCACCCTTGTCCTGGGCCACTATCCCTGTCCTCTTGGACTTGTGTCTGGCGGAGGAAGGGGAACATGGCCCGAGGTGTGGTATATCTGAATGTCAGGAGGCTGTGGAGTTGTGGGGGCAAGCCCCAGCCCCAGTGAGTTGAGGGGTTCCTCCTGAGTCCTGGCTTGCTCAGGCATTGGCCAGGGCTGTCCATTCAGGGTTGGGGTTCATGCCCTAGACTTCCACTCCTCTGACCTGGCAGTGGGGAGTTGTTTCTTAGGACGCTTGGACCAGAACCCAGCCCTTGGAAAGTTTGGCAAGTCACCATCAGATCCTGCATCTTGTAGGGACATAGCTTCACGAGCTTTCAAGAATGGCCACGCAATGCACTTTGAATTCAGAGACCCATTTTGCTGGGGGCGAGGTGGCCCTGTTCTTTGGTCTCCAGCTGTCTGCCTTGTGCATGCTCCTGCTGTGTCCTTGCAGCAGCTGGTGGGTCACTGGCTGGCCATCAAGACCCATTTCCTGCAGTGACAGTTCAGTATGGGGTCAAGGGCTGCTCACTCTAGGGTTTTTTATTTGGGGGGGGGGGGGGGGGTACCGGGGATTGAACTCAGGGGCCACCAACCACTGAGCCACATCCCTAGCCCTATTTTGTGTTTTATTTAGAGACAGGGTCTCACTGAGTTGCTTAGCACCTCACAGTTGCCGAGGCTGCCTGTGAACTTGCAATCCTCCTGCCTCAGCGTCCTGAGCCGCTGGGATTACAGGCGTGCGCCACTGCGCCTGGCTCCACTCTAGGTTTTTGACAGTGTGATTGAACTTTCTTTACCACATATAATCAATTATTTACCATAATCTTCTTTTTCTTTTAAATTAGACCCTAAAACAAGACTGGGAATCTGAAAGAGAGTTATGCTTAGAAAATCTACGCAAAGAATTATCCGCAAAGCACCAGTCAGAAATGGAGGATTTGCAAAACCAGTTTCAGAAAGAATTGGCAGGACAGAGAGCTGAGTTGGAAAAGATTTTTCAAGCTAAAAATCAGGCTGAAGGTGAGCATGGAAGTACTGTGAGCAGGTCTGGAGGGGCTGAGTTTCTGTGTGATATTAGACTCAGGATCTTGCAGCTCACCACATGGACCAAACACACTCTGCCACCTTTGGTTTCCAATGCCAGGTACTCCTGATGGCAGGTTGGGAGGCCTCCTTGCTGGCCACTGACCTCTGTCTCAAAGACATGTTTTGTGTGTTTATTTACTAAATTGATACCAAAACAGTAGTATCTGGTAGTTGTGTGTTCTGCAGTGGTCCTTGTGGGCCGGGTAATGCTGCCTGTAAACCACCATGTCTGTCTCTTCCTCCTTCCCGGGGAGAGCAGAGTGGCTGCTGAGACAGGGTGTGGACTGGGCCTGCAGGCTGTGGCTCAGCTTTGCCTTCCCGGCCACACCCCTGGCGTGGCACACTGTGCAGGAGAGCATGGGCCCAGGATGGAGCTCAGTGGCGTGCAGCGAGCCGAGCGGTTATCATCTCAGTGGTAACCTGCTGCTAGTGCCGCTGAGGAGGGAGAGTGGCTTCTCCTTGAAAATGAGGTGGAATTCGTGCTGCCTTCTAGTCTCCCTGAAGAACCTGGAGGCTCAACACCAGGCAGCCATCAAGCAGTTACGCGAGGACCTGCAGGTGGAGCGCTGCCAGTGCCTGGAAGACCTGGAGTTGAGGTTCAGAGAGAGGGAGAGAGAAAAGCAGCTGGAGGTAGGCACGAGCTCACTCATTCTTAATTATTTCGTGTTCGGGAATTTAATTTTTTTTTTAGTTGTCTATAGACCTTTATTTATTTATGTGCGGTGCCGGCACCCAGTGCCTCACACATGCCAGGTGAGTGCACTACCATGGAGCCACAGCCCCAGCCTTTAGAGAAGTTTTAAAAGATTTTGTAACTGGGCCATTGTTCTGTTATTTGCTGAAACTTGAGTACTGACTTTGAGAAGACTTGTTGGGTGGAGGAGCAAGGGCAGAGTCTGAGGTTCATGTCGTCATTAACATTCTTGCCTTGTACTTGGAAAGTGCACATTCTCTAGAAGTATACCTGAAATGTTAATAAAGGTCCCAAATGGTAATTCAGACATGTTGGCGTACATCTGTAATTCTCATGGCTTGGGAGGTTGAGGCAGGAGGATTGAAAGTTCAAGACCAGCCTTGGCAATTTAGCAAGACCTTCGGCAACTTATGAAGGCCCTGTTTCAAAATGAAAAATAAAAAGGGCTGGGATGTGGCTCAGTAGTAAAGCACCCCTGGGTTCAATTGTAAGTATAAAAAAATAATAATAAAATAAATAAAAAGATACCAAACTCCAGGAGTAAGGCCATGTTCCCCAACTGTGATTCTATAAGCCAGAACTTCTTCCAATAGCTCCCCAAAGCATTCCTGCTTACTTGCTCCAGACCTGCTTCTGGTGCAGTCCTGCATGTCTTGTTTAAGGTACGGCCAGGGTACTCCAGTCTGAGTGCTTTCCTACCAAACCCAAGAGGTGAGGGTCAGTCCAAGACATTGAAAAGAGAGTAGAACAGAAGTTGGAATTGGTGGTGTGCAGAGGTGTGCAATCTGAGCAGGGGCAACACGGGGCCCCGTGGTCTTCAGGAGCCTGCCTGGGCCCATCTCTGGACCTGAAGACCTGGTGTCTATATCCTTTGTTTCTGGGGTCCTGGTCTTGTCCTGGCTGCTAGGCTATCTCACAGTGATGGGGAGAAAGCCCATGAGCACCCCCTGGTCCTAATGCCATGAAGAGGATGGATCAACCTCAGGGCCAGTGCCTCTCTCACTACAGGCCATAGCTCAGGGGCCACATTCCTCTGTGGTTGCCCAGCTCCCTGTGGGGCTGCAGCCCACGAGACAGATGGTGAGGCTCATCCTTCCACCAGGCCCTCCTGGACTGGAGCCTGCCTTCCCTTTTGCCGTTCTTGCTCAGGGAGAAGACCCATCTGCTGGGAGCAGGCCCAGGCCTGGGGTAACTGTAGAGGAAAGACGGCACTGCAGGGAGAGGGGCGGGAAGTCCGGAAGTCAGGCAGCCTGGCAGCAGTGTGCATGCTTGTCCTCCTTGGCGAGTGGACAGGCCCTTGTGTTGCTCGGAAGGCCTCTTGGGTCTCTGCTGGGACAGCCTGCCTGCTCTGTCTTGTAGCCGGACCACACAGAATGGTGCTGACATCCCACCAGGGTGCACTCACTTTGGGCCTGGCAGTGTCACAGTGTGTCAGGATGCTCTTCGCCATCCCTGAGACCAGAGGGTCAGTCCATGGCAGGGCCTAGCCCTTCATGCTGTGCTTTATGGGCACTTGATAAGGTGAGGAGCAGCGTTTAGTGTCCGAGTGTGAGGTGACCTGCTTCTGTAATGTGAACTTGAGGAACACACACTCCTCATTTGAAGTGATGGTCCTGTGGGTAATGCTGCTTCCCCGGCCCTGCCTCACAACAGCGGCATCGCAAGCCCTTCCTGCAGGTCCCACCAGTGTCACGGGTGAGCCCCGTCCTGTGCCCAGAGGCTGCAGACAGCTTCACAGATGATGGCTGTGTCTGGCCGTTATGGCTCTAGGCCAGCAGGCAGGTGACCACACTGTCCCCAGGGCATGGACATGCTGAAGTTATGCTGTGAACACTCACACCCAGAATTGAATGCTGTCTTTCTTATTTCAAGTTGGGGTCTTATTGTGCTGCCCCGGCTGGCCCTGGGCTCCTGGGCTTACATGACCCTTCTCTCTGACTCTCCTGAGGAGCTGGGATTGCAGATGGCACCATCATGCCTGGCTGTTACTTTTAAGTGACTCTGACTCTGGCCTGGGCCTTGTTTGGATGAGGCTGCTCTGGCTGCTCCGTTCTGGCTGCTAGGTTTGGGGTGTAGGTTTCCATTCCACATGTGTTTGGCTCCTGCCCACCAGGTGCATGTAGCACAGACCACACATGGTGCACCTTGGTCTCCCGCGTTCCTCACAGGGATGCTTTCCTTTTCCAGCTGGAGAATCTTCAAGCGTCCTATGAAGCCCTGAAGGCCCAGTCACAAGAAGAAGTCAGGCGCCTGTGGTCCCAGCTTGAGTCTGTGAGAACCAACAGAGAGGAGCTGAATGGTGAGCAGGTTTTTTTTTTTTTTTAATATTTACTTTTTAGTTGTAGTTGGACACAATATCTATGTTTTATTTATTTATTTTTACGTGGTGCTGGGGATCGAACCCAGGGCCTCACATGTGCTAAGCGAGTGCTCTACCGCTGAGCCGCAACCCCAGCCCTGGTGAGCAGTTTTGTGTAGGAAATTCAGACCCTCCAAAGTCAAAGCTGTGTGTGCTTTTCATTTTTTGCAGTGCTGGGAAAGGAAACCAGGGCCTTATGCTAGGTAAGCGCTGAACCACTGAGCCACATGGTGAGCCCTGAAGGCATGTTTTTCATGAACTAGAATTTAGTAGTTGTAGCTAGCACAAAAAGTAATTTTTAAAATGTGCCCGTCCTATACAGTGTTCAGGGTTTGTGGAAGTCAGGCACAGGGATCAGCTTTGGTTGGGAATGAAGTGCACGAGCCGCGTGCTGGGTCGGACTGTCCCAGGTGGAGACCGAGAGTTGGGAGAGCCATGATTTTGTCCTTAGGCAAGTCAGCTGGTAGCAGCTGTGTGATTGTATGGCCCTAACGGTGCAGACTGGCATCATTGTGGGCTGTCTCTCCAGTGTGAGGCGAAGTGCCTGTGGTGCTCAGCCTTCTCCTGGACGCTGCTGTAAACAGTGCCTTGCTGCTTACCTCACCGTGGTCCTGTGTGCCGCCTCTAGTGGCTCAAGCTCCAGAATTGAAGGGTTCAGGGCCCACCGGCGGTGGCAAGTTTGTCTGGGACAGCTTGGTCCTAGTCTTCCCTGATAGCCAAGTCCCTCCATTCACATCAGGTCGGTTTCTGCTCAGCTGTCTGAACGTCGCTGCCCCAGAGCAGGCAGAGCCACTTGTGCCCATAGGCAGGGGCAGTCAGGCCCAGCTCAGGCCACCAGCATCCCAGGCCACAAGAGATGTCTTCTTCTTGGAGTTCATCTGCCAACTGCCCCTAGGGCAGGTGGATCATGAGGAAGGACCAGGGCTGTGCTGTTGGGCAGCCGCCCTTTGCCATGCACTGGGAAGGGAGGCCTGGGCTTCGTCTCCCAGCCCCAAGTTCTGTCTGTGGCCACATGTGGTGGGCAGTGTGTCAGTTGTCCTTCCTTGGGTCTGTTTGTCACTGGAGGCTGGAGGAGAGAGAAGCTGATGGGACCAGAGGCCCCGCGGCTTCTGCACATGCTCTGGCTCCTTCTTGCTCAGCTGCAGATCTTCCTTTATACCGAGGCCCCCAGGAGGGAGCCCTGGGTGGTGACTGAGTCCGCACTGGGGCAGCCTGCAGTGCCCAGGACTGTAGTTCTCGTGTGGGCATATGTTGAGAGCCACAGCCGAGTTGGTATGGCCCTGGCATATTACCAGAAGGAGTGGTTGAGAGGTGACGCCAGCGAGCCATTAAGATGATGATAATGAAGTTAAGCTGTGCATAATTGCTGTGACTGGATGATGCTGGTTGGAACAGGCTGTCTATTCAGTTGTAAATGGACCCCTGCTGTCCTGCAATAGGGCGGCTCCTGCTGCCTCGGGTCGCCCGCCCCGTTGAGTTCCGGTTGAGCTCTCGCGGGGATTCATGGAGAGTTCGCATTGGTTGGTGAGGGTCCGGTGGAGGGAGTTCCGGTTGGTGTGTGGTGTTCCTGGAAGGGCCTCGTGGGTGGCGTTCCCGGGAGTTCGGGCAATAAAGGAGTTCCTGTTTGAACCTACAAGTGCCTCGTGGCGGCTCAGTTATTTTGTGTCCAGCCAGACTGCGGCAGTCATAGCGTGCCCTGATCAGTCAGGAGCTCTGCGAGGTCTGAAGGGCACGTCTGGCTCTCTGGCCAGGGGCGCCCACAGGTGAAACCCAGCTCTCTTTGGCTACACACCTCCCCAAACCCACTTCTAGGCTTCTTGGGGTTGTGCAGGATCCAGGTTCTCGTGGACGTAGGACTGACTCTTGTCCCTTTCCTTGGTAGCTGTTGGTGGGCCCATGCTCCCTGCCACAGTGGGTCTCTTTGGCTCCTGGACCAGCAGCTGGAGAAAGGGCTGCCTTTCAGGGGCTCTCGAGGGGCTGAGCAGCCCTGCGAGGGCCCCCTTCCACTCCCAGGTCCGGGCTGGGCCCCTCTCAGAGTCTGCTCTGCTGCCCCTGACTGTGTGCCTCTTCCTGTGGAAGGGCCCCTGGAGCCACTGCTGACACGAGCCTCCTGCCTGGAGGAGCTGGAGCACCTGCGGCAAGGCTTTGCTGAGCAGCAGCAGCGAGACCGCAGCCAACATGAGTCTGAGCTGCAGCAGCTACGGGTCTACTTTGAGAAGAAGTTGAGGGATGCTGAGAAGACTTACCAGGAGGACCTGACCCTGTTCCAGCAGCGGCTGCAGGAGGCCAAGGAGGAGCCCCCTTTGGGGTCTGGTGAAGTCAGGTACAGAGGAAGCAGTCGTCACTGGGAATGGTTCCCATCCCATGTTTGCCATCTATGCCAGTAGAGACTGGTGGACTTGTTTCAGAAGTGGGCTCTGTGCTGTGCACTGGAAGTGAGATGCCCCCGTGGGTCCCTGGCTGGTGGCTCCTGCTGTGGTCCCAGGATGCTGACTGAGCCAAAGGCAGACCTGGTCATCCCATCCTTGACCAAGGCCTCTGCTTTTGCACCTGGCCCAGGGAGAGTGGGTGGGTGCAGCTGAATGGTCACGTGTGAAGCTTTTAAACATATATTTTTTTTCTTAGTTCATCCTGTACATTTTTAGAAGAGATGTCTTACGGAAAAAGAAAAGAACACTCTGATCAACTTGACCTTCGTCTTGAGCGGCAGAAGGTGATGGGCTTTGTTTTGATTGCTGAGCAAGGGTTGTGTTCACTGATCTGTAATTTAGAAGTAACTGTGCTGGGTGTGGTGGTGCACACCTGTAATCCCATGGCTCCGGAGGCTGAGGCAAGAGGATCATGAGTTGGAGACCAGCCTCAGCAAAAGCAAGGTGCTAAGCAACTCAGTGAGACCCTGTCTCTAGGTAAAATACAAAATAGGGCTGGGGATGTGGCTCAGTGGTCAAGTACCTCTGAATTGCTGTCTGCCATGGTGCAGTGATCCAACCAGGGAGGGCTGCTCTCCTGAGGAGCACCTCTGTTGGCCACGGGTCCAGGCTGAGGGTCCCCCCTTCGCACTCTGGCAGCTCCATCCTGGCTGAGAGGCTGTCCCCGGCCCCCTCCCCTCACTCACTGGCTGACGTGCATTGATAGTCCAGGGGCTGTGCAGTTGTGTTTGGCTTTGAGTTTTGTCCAGAACATCTTTCTGTCAACCTGTACGTTTCCTCTTCCTCCAGTTACCTCCATGCTGTGGTTTCCTGTCATTCTTTTGCTATTTCTTGCTTGTGACACTTGTTAACACTTGTGGCTAGTCTAGTAGAAGGACCAGGAAGGGACCAGTTGTGAGACACCTCGACCTGTTGATGGCTGTTGATGGCTGCGCCAGGTTTTCCTGGGTGTGCAGTCTCCTGCAGCCCTGGGACCCACTGTGCTAGGCAGTGCAGCCCTCAGCACTAGTGCTCTGCCTCTGATCCTGGGTTGTTGGGTCAACACTGGCTTGGGGCTGCCATGACAGAGCACACCCCCTGCCGCAGGAACAATAGAGACTCATTCTGTTACAGCCACAGGTCTCATGGCCTGGCCCTTTGAGGCCCTTCTCCCTGGCTTATAGGTGGTGTCTTCTCCCTGAGTCCTCACATGGTGGTCCCTCTTGTGGTCTGTGTCCTGGTCTCCTCTCATGAGCACGCCTGTCTGTTGGATTAGGGAATGCCCTAGTGACCTCACTTAATCTTGACATTTGCCGGTGAAGGTCCTGGGATCAGGACCTCAGCGAACGAATCTGGTAGGGGACCCGCGCAGTCGTCTCCAGCCCTCAGGCTGTCACCCACATGGCTGTGAACGACGGCCTTTCCCGAGTGTCCCCCTCTTCCCATCAGTGTGCAGGTGGGCAAGCAGGGCAGGCCACAGCAGCTGCAGGGAAGCTCCACGCAGCCTCCCTGGTTTTCTGGTGCCCTAGCATAGCTGCACCTCAGCTCAGCACGCTCTGTCTCCCGGGCGCTATTCTCTGCGGCTCCTGGGGGCCCTTCCCTCCAACTTGTCCTACACCCCTGGCTGCCTGGGAACCATGCTTTTGCCTGCGCCTCCTGCCTCAGGTTGCTGTTGTGTTCCCTTCATGGGTGTGTGAGGGTGGCTGTGCCACAGTCTGCTCGGTCACATTTAAGCTGGTGTCACTATCACAGTCCGACTGTGACCTCTTTCTTGGCCGCCCATGGCTCTCAGGCTGGCACCTATGATCTGTAGCCTTTGTCTCCGTCTGTCTGCACCTGCTTTGCACACTGGGGACCTGGGAGTGGGGGGCGGCTTTTGAAGCTCAGGATCTTGCTCTGCCTGCTGTGTGTGCGAGGGCTGCTGAATACCTAAGTCCCTGGTTCTGTCGCTGCCATAGCCCCTGCAAGGCTCATGCTCCTCCAGAACAGGTCCTGTGTGCTCAGGCTGCTCTGGGTGGGAGGTTCTGTCTGTTGTCGACCCTGGTCATTCAGGAACGTTTCTTATCTCCATCATGGTTTTCAGTCTCTGGCTTTGCTCTCTGTGTTTCTCTGTCCTCTTGTTCCAGCATTGTGGATAGGAGGCTTCTGCTCACCTCTTGAAGACCACCCTGGGTGTCCAGGGCGTTCTGTGTTCTGTGCCATCTGTTACGTTTCTGCCCAGGTCTCTGTGCTGTCAGAGGTGGGTGTTCTGTGCAGGTTGGGGACCTATAGCCGGCTCCCTTCCTGCTCTGTGTGTGACTTGAAACTTCCTCCTTGTGGAGGACACAGAACATGTCCTTGTCCAGTGTCTGAGGAAGTCTGGCATGGGGCTCTGGAGAGCTCTGCAGAGATGGTAGGGACACCATGGAGGTGGGTCAGGTGTCCCATGTGGCTCGTGGTGTGGGCGACACAGCAAAGGGAAACAGAGCCTTCACCAGAGTAGGGTTCTTTGGGGAGGAGTGGGGATCGGCAGCAGGGAGGTGCCCGAGTCCCGAGAGGTGGACGCCCAAGAAGTTGTCGAGGGAGTGGTGGGAGAAGGTGAGCCGAGCCTCTGGAGGGAGGTGCCAGGGAAGGGACACAGTGGCATTTGGCCTGCAGCTGGCTCTCAGACCTTGGTCAGGCTCCCGCGTTGGCTCTCTGGGCCCCTGGGTGGGTGCTGAGTGCCAGGCGTGGTGTGCTGAGGTCTCACTGCTGTTGCAGCAGGGCATAGTAGTCAGGACTTCGGAGAGTCCCCGGTGCGAGATCTGAGGTTCAGGAGAGCTGGGAGCCTGTGCAGGCCCCTCCCTCCTGGGCACTCCTTGGGCACTCCTTGGGCACTATGGAAGGAGAACCACAACCGTGCTCTTCGTGACCTCAATTCTTTTGGGTGGAGGGGACGTTTTAGGAGTGCCCTGCCTGAGTCCACTCCTGGCTCTTGGGTGACAGTGGATCATGTCAGGTCCTAGGCCTCTACTGCACTTATTTTCCCCGGAGCGTCTAAGCAAGGGCTCTCGGGGAGAGGAGGTGTTTGCAGTGACATTAACTCTTGGTCTCCTGGCCTGGTTGTTGGGTCCTGATTAGAACTTGTTTTACAGAATCCTGGTCACCCGTGGGCTTTGGTCTCCTGCTTTTCCAGGGACTCAGGGTCGTGTGACAGCTGTGAGTGTTATGGCCACGCTGTGTCTGCCAGGCTACCTCTGGTCAACATTGTTTGTGCAGGGTCTTGTTCCAGATGTTCTGACAGGCCTTTGCCCTCCCTTGTCTCGTCTGACCTCGTGGAGCCGATGGCAGGACTGCTGTGGACTGGTCCACTGCACTAAGCCTTCTTCAAGCCCCAACCCCCTGGTGTCCGCCTGCTGCCTGATGCTCAGGGGAGGGAGTCTTCTGATTCCACAACACACACCTGGTGGCGCATGTTGTCCTCAGGCTGCAGCTGCTGCAGCTGCAGCTTCTCCAGGCTGTGCTGGACAGTGATGGAGGGGGAGGGGCAGCTGGACACACCTGTGTCTTGGTGAGGTGCACGGGGTTGCCTGTGTGGTCACTCATTCTGGCAGGGCATTCACCATTTCTTTGAACACAGAAGCCAGTGCCTTCAGTGGTACCAACAGCAAGTGAGGTGCCCAGGCTCAGCATGTCTGTCCTGCGTGGTTTACAGATGGGGCCAGCGTGGGATTCCTCCCTGCACGTCCAGCATGAGGACCAGTTGGACAGATGCCTCCTGGGACCTGAGGTGTTGGAGCTAGAGCCACTCCAAGCTGTGCCTTCAGAGCAGCACAGCCAAGGTGCGCCTGTCTCCTTGTCCTTGCCCTGCTGCAAGCTGGACCTGCACGGGTGTCCTGTCCATGTACACCATTCAGGATGGATTTCATGGCCACGTCTGCTGAAGCTGGACCATGAGCCTTGCACCTGGAAGTGCACCCCAAGCCAGTCCTGAGGCGCAGGTTAAATCTGGCAGGCTGGCCTGGGTGGGAGCCTGTGCTCCTGGCCCAGCCCGTTCTAGGTGGCTCTCTCTCCAGGCAGGAGCAGGTCTGCCTGTGGCAGTACCCTGGGGTCACAGGTTGCTGGGTCGTAGGAGGGGAACTTTCCTGGGATCCTGCTGTGCTCCTGTCAGACTGGTAGACCAAGCCCGCAGTGTGTCCAGGCAGAGCAAGGGGTGGGTTGTGGGGTTATTGGGAGGTGGCAGGACAGGGAACCCTGCTCATCTCAGAGGCGTGGTGATGGACCTGGACAGTGGCCACTGACAGGGATCCCAGGAAGGTGGGCAGCCGAGGGCAGCTAGTGAGAGACATGATAGTGGTGCCACTCTAGCCCCACCCGGCCCTGGGCACTGCAGTCTTCCTAGTAGAGGGGAAGAGGCCAGGGCCGAGGGGCCCCGTGAAGGAGTGGAAGGGTCAGGCTCCACGCTGGGTGCTGTGGCAAGAGCCCATCTTTTTTTTTTTTTAATTTGTTTTAATTAGTTATACATGATAGTACAATGACTTTGATATATCATATATTTGAATCAGATGGGATATAATTTCTCACTTTTCTGAGTGTACAGGTTGCAGAATCAAGAGCCCATCTTTTGGCTAAGAGCATACTTGGGGCTGGAGGGGGAAAGTCTTGAGGAGCAAAGCCCCAAACACAGCCTCAGACACACCCTCCGCCCTCCTCTTGTCCTTCCTGCGTCGGGGTGCCTCCGCAGCTGCCAGGGTGTCTTCTCACAGGCTTTGGTGGTGTTCCGTGTTTGCCCTGTGACATGTCTTGTTCTCACTCTGACTGTACCTGTGTTTCCCTCTTCTGTAGAGGGTGACCTGGGTCTGGCAGTGAGGAGGCAGTGTGCCCAGTGCTCACAGTCCCAGCCCTCTGGCCTCATGCCCTCAATCCCTGTCCTGTGTTGAGCCGTGGCAGGTTTTACATCCCTCCTGATCTGCAGGAGTATCTTGGGCAGGCAGGGTATGCCTGCAATAGGGTACAGCTGTGCCCCCAGGGTGGGCATGGAGAAAACCACGCCCCATCCTGAGTTAGCACCAGGACCTTTGCCTGGTCTGTGCACAGCCGGTGTCAGTGAAGTGCACTTTTGCTGGCACTGCCTGTGGGTGGGCCATGGTGCGTGACTGCTTCCTTCCCTCCTTGTTCCACAGAGACCCAACAGGTACATCACCAGTGTGTGCAGGATGTGACCTTGAAGGAGGACATGCAGGTTGCCGCCAGAGTTCTGGCTTTGGAAGCTGAGCACAAGGTCAGACTGTCTCTTCAACAGACTGAACTCAAGGAACAAATCGAACTCTTAAAAATAGAAAACAGAAACTTACAGGAGAAGTTGCAGCACGAGACCCGTCTGAAAGAGGATCTGGAGAGTGTGAGTAGTGGCCAACACAGGCGCATGGCCCATATGGGCACAGGAGGTCCTGGGGCTCAGAGTGTGGTGTCTGTGCATTGACCACAAAATCTTGAGATTGGCCCTTGCAGTGAAGTGCCAGCAGTGGTTTCTAAGATGGGGCTCATTATGGTAAGAGAGCACCCCAGCCTGTGTCGGCACAGGTCTTGACTCCTTCAGAGACTGGTCGGTGTCCTCGGGCTACTGGAAGAGGGACCTGCCACTTCTGTCATCTAGCTCGTGTCTTAAGTCTCTAGGCTCTTCCTGGTGATGGTTGCAACGGTGCAGAGCCTGCATTCCCAGCCCCTTCCTAGCCACAGTTGAGTATGGACAGCAACTGAGGGGCATTGTCACCCAACCGGTGTAGGCCCAGGCCTTGCAGCCGTGCTTAAATGCAGATGAAAGTGAATGTGCAGAAACTCCTCTGTCTTTGCATGTGTGTATTGACTAAACTCTTCTCAGTTCATGCTCGCGACCGGATGTGACCACTGGTCTGCTGTGCCCTCTGCTTCACCCCTTTGTTCGTCCCTACAAGCATCTCTGTGGGTTTTCATCTTCATCAGAAGAGCTTGGAGGAAGCTGTTTCTGTTGTGAGTTTTCCTGGGCTGCTGTTGACATCGAGGCCCTGTAAGGATGTGGAGCAGGGTAGGGCTAAGGGCGACCTGTGGAAAGCCCCGTGGGCGTAGAAGCTGTTGCCCCGGGACAGGCCTTCCTGAGCGCTTTTCCCAGGCCACTGCTGTCTCTGATCACCAGTCACCAGAAAAGGGCGGTGGGACTATCTGTCTCTCTTCCTCGTCTGTTAGCTCTCACTCTAAGTACCTGGAAGCTGTGTTGCGTGTGCTTGTGCTGTGGAGTCTTCCTGGGCAGCAGCCCTTTGGTCGCCGTGGCACTTGTCTTGGAGCCGTGTCTGCAGATGCAGACTTGCTGACCTTGTGCGTTTTGAGTCCATCGTTCTGCCTTCTCTCCCAAGGCCCCTGGGCCTCCTGCAGACCTGGGCCGGCAGTGAGGTCTGTGAGGCTGGAGCGGTGGTTGGCGTGGTGGGCTAGCCCCCTCATTGCCTTCTACGTGTGTTCTTTTTGTTTTTTGTTCCTCTGCTCCTTTTTTCTGACTTTTGGAATTTTTTGAGTTTTTGCTGGATAGATCTTAACGTATCTGTTGGCTTTTGAGTTACAGTTCTCTGCCCTGTTTTCCACGTTTGCTCAAGAGATGAGTTCACAGTAGAATCCATAGGATACCATTTCACAGAAGCTGTAAGATTTCGTCATTGTGTAGATGTATCTTTCACCTCCTCTTTGTAGTACATTTTAACAGTTCTGCATCCCCCTATGTTGTAAAATCCACCATACTACATGTAGGATTTACTCTGAAAAGTCATATATTTGAGAGAAATACATCTCCATCTTGGACTTTTATACCATTTCTGGAGTCCTTCATTTCCTCCCAAGGATCTGAGTTTATCTTCAGTTGTAGAATTTCCTTTAGCATTTCTTGCTATGCTTGCTGCAAAAGATTTCTTTTATTTAAAAAAGTCTTTATTTCACATTCATTCCTTAAGTTGTAGACGGACACAATGCCTTTACTTTATTTACTTCTGATGTGGTGCTGAGGGTTGAACCCAGTGCCTCACACGTGCCAGGCAAGTGCTTTACTACTAGCCACAACCCTAGCCCTCACCTTCGTTCTTGAAGAATATTTTTTGCTACATAAAAATGTCTGGGATGACAGATTTTTTTTTGGTCCGATGTTGTTAGACTCTTTTCTACTGGTTTCATTGTCTGTGTCCTCTTGGGCTGGTCTCCATTGGTTGTGTTTTCTTTGCACCCTGGGTCATATGTTCCTGTGTGTTTGTGTATCAGCTAATTTGAGCTGTATCCTGGACGTTGTGCATGTTGTGTGAAGACTCTGGGTTCCGCTAGGATCTGTTGAAGTCTTGTTTGCTTCAGCAGGCAAGCGTGGCCAAATTGGACTCACTGTGTCCGTCTCCTCTGTGTTGGACCAAGCATGGTGTGCTCAGTTCTTTTGGCTTTAGCTGGCCTGTTTTGGAGTCAGCCTGTGCCCATGTCCATCAGGGCTCAGCCTGAGATTTAGGCAGCGGCTGGCTCTTCCTAAGAGCTTCCCCTCACTCTCCTGTTTTGGCACACACAGGTAAGGCGATGGGAGTTCCTGGGTAGGGTATCTTGGCTCCTGCTGCCAGCCTGAAGCCTTGGAAGGAAGACAGCCTGGTGCCCTTCCTTCTGCGTGTGGGCCCACTGCTTCCTCAGCTCTCTCCAGGCCTTGTGTGGTCACCAGCACCTTCTCAGTTTACAGTTGCTGTCCCTGGGAGGTTGATCTGATCGGAGCTGCTCAGCCATGGCCAGGACCAGGCCTAGACTGTATTTTTTATCATTTTTAAGTGAGAAGTTGAGGTCAGCCTTTTATACCTTATTTTGGTTTGGGTTTGTTTCTTGTTGATGACATTTAGTGCTTTATTGACCTGCTTTCTTCCTTTTCAAATCTGGAATGTGTGCCTGTGCTCAGCTTTCTCGTTTATCTGCCTGCGTACAAAATCACTTCAGGGTTACCCGTTTAACTCAGTGAAGATCAGGAATGTGGACCTCATGACTGTCTGCTCGTCTCTCTGGGACCTCCCATCTTCCTGCTGTGGGAGTCTCTCTTGGGTCATGGTGGAGGAGCCTCCAGCCCTGGCTCTGCTACAGCCATGTGTCCCTGGGTTGGCTTTTATTGAAGCCAGGGGACAGTGTTGAGTGAGCCCGTCTTGGGCCCCTGCCACTGGCATTGCTGTGCTCAGCATATCACCTGTGCTGGAAAAGTTCCCTCTTCAGAGATGGGTTTCAGTCATTGCTTCTGAAAAGTCTTTCCCTTTAATTTTTTTCCTCTTAAATAAGATTATGCTTCTCTAGGTAAAACGTAGTTTGTTAGAAGACCACCAGGAAGAACTAAATAAAGCTGAGCAGAAGGTTCAGCTACTGAAACAAGAGTTCAGAAACAAAGAAGTGGAGTGGGAGCTTTTACGCGAGGGCCTGAGGAGAGAAGCTGAGGAGAACTTAGCCTCAATGTGCCGTGAGCTAAAAGAAAAGGCCGAGTCTGAGAAGCAGTGTGCTGTGAGCAGGTTTGAGCATCGGGAAGCTGGGATGAGGCACCTGCAGGACCAGCAGGCCGCACAGATCCTGGCCCTGGAGAAGTCCCTGGCGGAGCAGCAGGGCCGCCTGCGGCAGCTGGAACAGGCCCTTGCTGGGGACGAGGCTCTGCCCTGCCATGGGTGCAGCCAGGACCCCCCTGTAACTTCGGACGGGCAGCGTGGCACACTCCTCGAGGGGAAGGAAGAGTATGCCCTTCAACTGATGCAGGCTCGGAACAGGTGGGTGACTCGGGCTGTCGGGTGGTATGCAGCTGTCTCCAAGGTGCCAGGCAGGCTGAGGGAGGCCCTGGGAGGATGGAAGCCCAGTGGGTGCTCAGCCAGGTGGGAGGATGGGAGCCGGAGGGGGTGTGATGCCCAAGTCTCACTCTAAAGCAGCAGGGCACCTTTGGGCCCCATAACAGATGTGTGGTGACGGGTTGGGGTCCTCCCGTGGAGGCTGCACTCCTTGTGTGACATTAGTGCACATATACCTTTCGTGCCTCTATGTGTTTTGACATTTCAGCAGCAGCCAGGTGTGGTGGTGCATGCCTGTAATGGAAGGCGTGGCAGGAGGATGTCAAGTACGAGGGCAAGACCCTGTCTTAAAACAATATGTCAAGGGCTGGGGTGCAGCTTAGTGGTGGAGTGCCCCTGGGTGCAACACCCAATCCTGGAAAAAAGACACAAAACAGCACTAAACCTGCCCCACCCACAAGGCAGGCAGGTTACCCACATGACTGACTGGGTTTTACGCGCGCACATTTTTTTTTTTTTTTTAATATTTATTTTTTTAGTTGGACACGATATCTTTATTTATTTATTTTTATGTGGTGCTGAGGATTGAGCCCAGGGCCTTGCATGTGCTAGGCGAGCATTTACTGCCGAGCCCCGGCCCTAGCCCTAGGTTGTTTACTTTTTTTTTTATTTTTTAGTTATACATGAACACAATGTATTTATTTTGTATATTTATTTTTATGTGGTGCTGAGGATCGAACCCAGTGCCTCACATGCAAGAAGCAAGCTCTCTGCCACTGAGCCACAACCCCAGTCCTTACGTGTACGGTTTTAAATACTTTTTCTAAAACCTTCACTTGCCTAAAGTTTTAGATAGGTTCAGAGCCCGCCTAGGTCCTTTCCTTTTGTGCACCTCAGTCCTTGCTCTGGTGGCCCCAGTGTCCTTGGTAAGGGGCCGTTGGGCCTGGTGCTGGCTCTGCCCAGCATGTCCCTCCTTCCTTGTCAGCTCTCTCATGCCACAGGTGTGCGAGAGTTACGCTTTAGGCCCCCAACTTGAGTTTAGCCCAGACCCGCCACATTGGGCTAACGTCCAGCCCCACAGGACCTCTGTGTCTATGTTATGGAGGGCAGTCTGTGGAAGCCCCTGGACATTCATAGCGCCCAGGGGGGCAGTGCCTGTCTTCCACTGAACATGGTGGAATGCACCATGAGTGGAGCCGTGCCCACAGCGGAGCTCGGTGCTTGTGGTTCCAGGTTCCTCCTGGCTCCTGATGAGATTCTGCTCTTCCTTAGAAGCTGGTTTCACTGCCCATCTGGCTTCTTACTGCTCTTTCTCAGGCGCTTGTGCTACTTTGCGACCCTGTGAACTTGCTTCCCTTTCGAGGGTCAGGTGGCCCAGGCTGGGAGTTAGGGGCCTTGAAGAGCGACTGGGGTGTCTACCCTGCTTGGTCCTCAGAGATGTGTGTACAGTCTCCCTGTGGGTGCTGTGTCCTTCCTGCTGCCTGAGCCCTGGCGACTCCCCTGGCTCTCCCCTGAGGACAGTTAGAGGTCAGGGCCGAGGTTCTGAACAACCGAGGTCAAGGGGAAAACGTGGCTCAGGGCTTGCAGGGGCCAGTGCAGCATGGTCATGGGCCCTGCCGCCCCCGCTCACCTGGGATGATGTCGCCTCAGGTTTTTGGAGGAGCGTAAAGAGATCATGGAGAAGTGTGCTGCGGACCAAGATGCTGTCCTGCGGGACGCTCAGGAGAAGCACGCTCAGGAGAAGCACGCCCACGAGCTGCAGCTCCTGCAGCAGGGACACCAGCAGCAGCTTCTGGCCTTGAGGACAGAACTTGAGAGCAGGCACCCGGTGGAGCTGGCCGAGCTGGCGGCCACCTTGGAGAGGGAGCAGCAGGTGCTCCTCGAGGCTCGCGTGGCCGAGCTGCAGGCGAAACACGCTGCGGAAGTCAGTGCTCTGGAAAGGAGGCGTTCGTCAAGCCTGGATGCTCTGGAACCCTGCTGCACGTCTGGGGTTCAGGCCATGCAGGACCAGCACAGGCAGGCTCTGGAGCTTCTGCGAGCAGAGCTTGAGGAACAGCTGCAGGAAAAGGACTCTTCTCACCAAGCAGTGTTGGCTCAGGAGTCGGAGAGACTTAAGCTAAAACACGAGAAGGAGCGCCAGTCCGCCAAGGACAGCCCGAGAGCGGAAAGGCGTGCCGAACACACAGAGCAGCTGAAAGCCCTGGCCATGCAGCTCCAGGGTGCGCACCAGGTGAGGCCTGGCCCTCGGCCCCGCGCTCGTGTTAAAGGCTCTCGCCCCATTTCAAGAGCCATGCTGGTCCTTTAGTCAGGCACTAGGGTTCTGGTACAAAGGAGTTTGTAGGGAAGTCCCTTTGCCCTAGACGTGCAGCCCTGGCCCTGCGGTCAAGGGTGAGGACCTGTAACCTTCCTACTGCAGAGCTTTGCACTTCCTCTGCTCTCCTCAGCCTGGGGACTTCGCCTCCCTGAATGGGCACGGCTGCTGTTTGTGCTACGAGTGGCTCCTGGGATGCCAGGCCTTGGGCAGATGGCATGCCAGGGCAGTCTCCCTACTTGGGAGGGTGGGTGCACTTGGTCTCAGCATCCACACTGGTCCAGGAGGATGGAGCTGGGCCTTCTCTGGGTTGAATTCAGAGAGCAGTCTGATGCCACGGGATGTGCCTCGGCAGGTGCCTGCCCTTGTGGGCACTCTTCCACTCTGTCAAAGGCAGGTAGATGCTGGGCGGGTTCAGTGGTTCCTGAGCATGGATTTAAACCTGTAGGTCTTGGTCCGTTGACTTACGGATGTAGTGTTCTAGCAGACTATTCAGAAAGCAGAACGTACCACTTGACTGGTGGCAGAATCTGGTGGTAGAAAGCATGTGGAAAGTTAATTGCTCTGTGCACCTGGCAAGGCTGTGGGGGGTGTGCAGGGCCCTGGGTGGGTGTGCTGGGGCACACCACCTGCGGATGGAGGAGGAGAGGGGAGTGGCGTGGGGCAAGCTGGGTGCTGAGGCTGTGCTCCTGGAGCGCCACACCAGACGGCCCTGCAGCAGCTGGGGGACACACATGCAGCCCTGGCTGAGGCGCAGCCTCAGTGAGCAGAGCAGGCTGGGCAGGGGAGTGCCGCGTGCAGCTCCCAGGGCCTCTGAGTCTCCACCAGAGCTCCACAGCCCCTGCTCGTGGGTGCTAGGGTGTCTGCTCCAGGGTCAGCTCTATTGGGAGCAGAGCCCATTGAGACGCACTGGAGCTGATGCCTCTGTGGGGTGGGCTGCTAGCCCTATCCTTGCAGTCTCTGCAGGGCAGAGCCCTGGTGTGGGCCTGGAGGGCAGCAGGTGGCTCCTGGGTGTTGATATTCTGGCAGCTGGACACAAAAGGGGTTGATGGGACTGCTGACCTAGGCAAGTGTTGACCCAAGCCCGGGGAGACGTGGCCCTGGGGTGAATGGCCAGGGTGTTGGTGTCTGCTGGACTGGCTGACGGTGGTAGTGGTGCATGGAACCTGGGGGTGATGGGGAGGTCACGCTCTCTGGGTTGGTGCCATTTCTGTGAGGATGTCGAGGGTGGGGTGAGTGAGCTGCACAGAGTTGTGACTTTTGTCCACACAGCAGGATGGGGTTTGAGAAGTGTGCACCCAGCGTGGCGCCTTCAGGCTACATGTCCACATGAGTGTTTTGTCGGGTGCTGTGGTGGAAGTCTGACCATGCAGTTGGAGCCTCTCTTGGACTTCGGAGGCAGCTATGGAAGTCCTGGCTGGGTCCCTGGGACCTGGGTGGCCCTGAGCCTCAGCTCCCTCTCACTTCAGATTCGCACTGTGCTCTTGAAGAGAGACCTGTGAGCAGGGGCCAGATGTAGTGGGAATACAGCAGCTTGTCAGGAAGGAGAGCCCTCAGGAGGAGGGGAGAGGAAAGCCCTGTGGGAGGCGGCTCTTTGCCTCACCAGTTTTGTGAGGGAGGCCTGGAGGAGATTATTTGAGGGTCCTGCCCAAACACCACCTCTTGGCTCCAGACAGACAGCCTCCATTAGAGGTGCTGAACCTCTGCTGTGCCTGCTTTCACCCACAAGTCACTGTGACACCCAGGACCGGCAGGGGAAGCACAGTTACATTGACATCGAGGAGCTTCACCAACAATCGGGGCAACACCTGTCACCCTAGCCTGGCTGACAGGTCCCAGTTGCAACTTGTTTCACAGAATTGTGTGGTTGGTGTGCTTTGATGTGGATCACACAGCGTTCCTGGGGACTTGGGGTCTTATGACAGTGTGGGTGTTGTGGTCGTGGGATGCCTTAGGCCTCAGTCTGGTCAGCATAGGACACTCCAGCAGTTATGCCTTTTTGAACAAGTGTACTCTCGCTGCTTGGGTCTTGCTGAGTCCTCTGTCCCTCTCCCATTGCATGGGGAAGAGTTGTTAGAGTGGAGGCCAGGAAGGGGTCCTGAAGTGGCTGTCCTGTCAGACCCTGCAGTGCCACTGAGGCAGGGCTTTTGGTCAACTGGTTTGTTTTGGAGTATTTTCTTTTTCCTTTTTTTTGAGAAAAAGGAAAAAAAAAAGTCTTACTGTATTGCTAGCAGAGGAGAAACACAGACAGGGGGCTTCTGTCCCAGAGGCTGTGATTCTTCCCATCAGGGGGAATAGGGGGCTTTTGAGAGGTGAATCTGTTGCAGGAAGCAGACCTATCAAGGATCCAGTCTTTGGGCCCAGAGGAGATCAAACTCCAGATCAGGAAACATGTTTGCAAAAGCAGAGAATAATGAGGGAGAGACATACTCTTCTCACAGGCCTCAATAAATCTCTAGCCTGTATCTGAAGCCTCCACAGAGGTACTTACACTTCAAAGGGAGTTGTCAGACTCACGGTCGGGGTGGGAAACTAACCCTTTCCCCAGGCACCAGTTTTTCTCAATGATGTTCTTATGACTTTATTTTACAACTAGATCTGGTTCTGCCATCACAGATCAAAGGCTACATTCCACTTGTTGTTCTTTCAGGGTTGTGATTCACTTGTTAATTTGGGATAGAGTTATCTGAGATCTTCTGATACCCTCCCTAAAGTCTAGATAACTTTGTTGGTATGGGGGCCGCATACTCAGGGATAGATAACTTTGCCTGGGATGGGAGAAAAGGTGATTCCATTTCCCTGGAGATTAGGGAGGAGAGGGCGAGAGGAAGAGAAAGAAACAGGTCCATTTAAAAAATAAGCTGCAGTGGCAGAGCAGTAAGGGCTCATTCAAAGCCCAAAGTGGACACTGTTGCATTTCCCCACTGTCAGTTTCTACATTCCTTTTCTATGGGGAAAATGGGCCATGCCATCTCCAAGCTGCTTCCTGCTGAGAGAGGGCGAAGTTAGGGGAAGTGACCAAAAGTCCTTGTTCTCTTTCAGGTGGGGTGTGGACAGTTAAGAGTATTCAGCATCAGAGCAGTCCAGAAATCCATGTTGGCAGTTGGTGGGTGACTGGACAAGGGCAGGGATCATGCAGATGGCCACGGGTGTCACCGCGACTTTACCGAGTTTGTTTTCCTTTTTCTCAAAATGGACCATGATGCAGCAACCTGAACCATTCGTGGAGAGAAGGTGGATTTCTCAGAGCTTCGGCAGGTGCTAGGAGATTCCTCAGTCCCTCTCTTTATGCACAGGAACAGCTCCTCTGCTTTGACCCAGGCAGACTCGCCCGTCTCCTAACTCTCCTGCAGTTGGCTGTCAGTCTCCTTGCCTCCTCAGCGTGGATCTGGGGTTGCTTGAAGAGCCAAATCTGCCCAAGAAAGCTGGAGCGGAGGCTGTTCTTGGGTCCCATCTGGGATGGCAAATTTGCTACCAAAAGTTTGGTCCTTTTCCCTGATATGCCAATCCAATAATGACATGGTTTTGAGAAAAAGGGAAAAGGTTTTTTTGCTTTGCTAGCAAAGGAGAAGCACGGGGACTTCTGAGGCTTTGATTCTCTGAAGTCTTTTCTGCTGCTGGTGTCAGACTGCTTGCTACCCGACACCTCTGCGTCTCTGCAGGAAAGTGCCCACCAGTAGGTCTCCCCTGTGTGGATGCTGGGCACCCCAGCCTCAGGTCCCCACATGCCTGCTGAGCTGCTGATGGTACCCAGTCTGCGCACATTCTACCCTACAGGCTGCAGAAGTCCCTGAAGTCAACCGAGGACCTGGCTCGCCTGCCTGTGGGTCCTCATTCCTGGGTCCTCCTGCGTCTGAAAGGCTCCTGTGTTCTGGCCTTCCTGGGGTGGGAGGAGAAGAGTCCGAGCAGTGCCTCCTAAATGATTGTTTACTTCAGGTGAAGCATGTGCCAGAGACAAGGACTTTGCTGAAACAGCGTTCCACAGGGCTTTGGAAAAATAAGACTCTCTCATGTCTCATTTCTAACCATAAAATAAGGCCCTCAACTTTGCACAGGTTTGCTGGATTAATAGTTGATAGTTGCTGTTCTTACTTGGGGGTGACATCTGGACTGATTTCTAAAATTAGTGTTTAAGCTGTTTGTTCACATGGGTGTTCCCTAAATGGGCACTAGAGATCACAAAGATAAACGGAAGTGTGACAGTGAGATTTATTTTCTGTGTTTAAAAGTCCTGGAGTCTGGTCTGTGTATTCCCCTTGAGATGCAGCCCTGAGGAATGGTCTCAGAGGGGCCAGCCAGGTGGTCACCAGGAAGACAAAGACACCTGACCCAGGGACGTGCTGGGGATTTGAGACCCAGGTGGCACTGGTACACCTGAGGAGGCTGGGTGCATGTCCTGGAGGCTGGCGGTTGCCCGTACCTTGGTTTGTGAGTTGGGATTGTTAGGCGCTGCCCCTCTCTCCTGAGGGGCCACCTTGAGCTGCAGACTGTGGAGGGTGTGCGCAGCACGTCCTTCTGCAGGAGTCAGGTCCTGTTGTCTTCGGAGCCCTCTAGTCATGGACACGCAGCTTCTTCCCGGCTTACCTGTGAAGCATCCAGGTATTGCCAACTGTCCTAGCTTGTGACCTAATGCTGGGTTCACAAAAACTGACTACTCCAATAACTCAAGAAAACTACAAAGAAAGCACGCAACCACACAGAAATACCTTTTTCAATAATTCAGAGACGACTCTGTGAACTCTGTGACTCTGTGGAAAGAGAGGGAGCGAGCCACTGGAATTCTTTATTCTTATATAGGGAACCCACAAGAGGAGGTTTCATGGAACATTCTATACCAAAAAGGGTAAAGGGGTAGGGTTACAAGGGAACAGGTGAGTGTAGCTCAACCCCTCTGGGTGCCGCCTACTCCTAGGGCCACA